TTGACTGCTTTCCCAGGACACAGGCAGGGAGCTGGACAGGAAGTGGAGCTGCTGGGATTTTAGAACTGGCACTCATATGGGATCCCAGAGCGTTCAAGGCAAGGACTTTGGCCTCTAGGCCATGGTGCTGGGCCCAAAATAAATAAATCTTTAAAAAAAAATGCTGAACTGTCTTTACTTGGGAAAATGATAGCTTCTTTTTTTTTTTTAAAGATTTATTTTTATTATGTTTTTATTGGAAAGGCGGATATACAGAGAGGAGAGACAGAGAGGAAGATCTTCCATCCGATGATTCACTCCCCAAGTGAGCCGCAACGGCCCATGCTATGCCAATCCGAAGCCAGGAGCCTCTTCCGGGTCTCCCACATGGGTGCAGGGTCCCAAGGCTTTGGGCTGTCCTCGACTGCCTTCCCGGGCCACAGGCAGGGAGCTGGAAGGGAAGCGGGGCAGCTGGGATAGAACCGGTGCCCACATGGGAACCCCGGGCGTGTAAGGCGAGGACCTTAACCACTGCGCCACTGCGCCGGGCCCGGAAAATGATAGCTTCTTACATGTTCATCTGCTACATCCTTATTCCACTGGTGGAATAAATTTTACTTTATCCTCAAATGCTGTTTTCATTATTCTGACTTGGCACCATCAACAAAGACCAGACTGTTGGTGACCTATGGAATACTGAAGTCTCTGCTTACTATTATTGAACTTATCTTTCCAATTTTGTCAGTTTTGTCTTACTCTATTTTTGGGCTCTTTCGTTTGTATATTTATAATAGTTGCATCTTCTACAGAGTTTTTTGTCTTAGCACAGTCTGTTTTTGTCCTAAAGTCTATTTTTTCTGATCGTGTCATCATTCCTACTCTCTTTTGGTTATTTAATAAATGAATCTTTAAAAAAAAGGCAAGCTTTTATAACTTTGTGACTCTTCCAATTGAGCATTTTGTAGTCATAAACAAAGAATGTTACCTGGTGGATTCTCCGAGTACATTTCAGCCGATTTTCAACACATTTACCTCAAAAATCACAGACTTTGAGAACATTTAAGAAAACCTCATTGGATTGATGTTATGGTGTGGCATGTGAAATCACAACCTGTAAAGCTTGGCATTCTGTATGGGAACTGATTCATGTCATAGCAGCCCTGCTTCCAACCCAGCTAATGGCCTGGGAAAAGCAGCATAAGATGGTCCAAGCACTTGTGCTCCTGCCACCAATGTGGAGATCCGGATGAAACTCCTGGCTCCTGGCTTCAGCATGGCCTAGCCCCAGCTATAGTGGCTGTTTGGGGAGTGAATCAGGGGATGGAAGACCTCTCTCTCTCCCTCTCTCCCCTGCAATTCAATCAAAATATATGACTCTTAAAGAAAGAAAAAAGAAAACCTCACAAGTTACCTATGTCTGATACTAGCTCTGCACTCAATTGTGTTACCTCTTTCATCTTTCAGGAAATAATTAGGAAGGTAATAACCTCCCTTGTAAATGACAACTGATAAAAATATAAGAAGCATTTTGTAAAAGAAAATGGGCCATGAATATTTTCGCAGAATATTCTCCACTGAAATAGTTACCCAATGATAGATGGGGAAGAGGTGCTCTTAAGCAACATTAATTGCAATTACAGTCATAAACAGAAATACAAATAATAAAGTTATATTTATTTATGTATTTAACTGAGAGGCAGACAGAGAAAATGACAGAAATAGGGAAATCTTCCATTTGCTGGTTTCAATCCTAAGTGCCTATGATAACCAGGCCTGGGTCAGGCTGAAGCCAGAACCCTAGAACTCATTCTGGACCTCCCATATCAATGACAGGGACCAAAGTACTTAAGCCCTCACTTGCAGCTTTCCTGGCTGTGCATTAGCAGGAATGTTGGAATTGGAAGCAGATCTGGGATCCAACCCAGGTACTCTGGCATGGGGCACAGGCTTCCAAGTAATATCTTAACCACCATGTCAAACACCACATAAAACACCACAAATTTATACTCAAATAATTTTCATTCAATTAATAACACCTAAAACCAATAACAAATGTAAGTAAACACAGAAGTCAAATACTACATCATTTATCATTCAAAACAACTAAAAACAAGGGGATGGGGATCCATACACACAAAGGGGAATCCTTGTGTGTACAGAACCCTATCATAGAAACCAATAATGATTTTTAAAAGTCAAGAGAAAAACAAACAACTAAAAACATTTTTTAGAACCATTCATTAGATGGTGGAGCTTAGAACAGTCAGATACATTCTTACCATCAAACTTGTCATACTTCCAGTGACTTCTGGCTTCTTCCGTAGGAGTGACACTGAACACCGTGCTTTCAGCATCACCTTCTCCATCACTGGTTAATTCTTGCTTAAGTTTGGTGTCTAACCAGTCATTGACTAGCTCCTGAGCTATCAATAAAAGAAAAACATCTTTTAAGTATTTCAATTACTTAAGAGACTGTCTTCATTTATTAGTTTCATTGATTCAATAAATAATGAATATCTTTCATGCATCACCTACAGTTCTAGATTCTGGGAATACAGCTGTGAACAAAATTGGAAAAATAAACCCCCACTACCACCAAGTTTATATTGTAATTGAGAAAGAGAGATAATCATCATCATCATCATCACAAATAAAACAGGGCTGGCATTGTGGCCAAGAAGTTAAAAGCCATCATCAGCAATGCCATCAACCCACATGGCTCATGATCCAGCTACTCCAGTTCTGATCCAGCTCCCTACCAACGGACCTGGGAAAAACAATGGCACACAGCTTAAGTGCTTGGGTCCCTGCTACCCACACAGGAGACTTGGAGGAAGTTCCTGGCTCCTGGCTTTGGTCTGGCTCAGCACTGATTGGTGTGGCCATCTGGAGAATGAACCAAAAGAATGTTTCTCTCTACCTCTCCCTTCTCAATCTCTCTGTAACTCTTTCAAATAAACAAATAAAAAAATGTTTCAAAAAATAAATAAGAAAAAAAAAGCAAAGCATGGAAAGGTGAACAAAGTACAGTACAGAAGATAGGGGTTAAGTTTTAAATTCAGCGGCCAAAGAAGGGTTCACGGAGAAGGATGTGATGTCGAAAGCCACCTGGATACATAAAGGGACATCCTTCTATGCAGCGGGAAAGTAAATGCGAAAGCCTTCGGGCAGGAATATTTACCACGTTAAGGAAACAGAAAGAGGCCAATGTTGCTGAAGAGGAGAGGAGAACAGCAGGAGATGAGGGGAAATAGGTAACACATGGATCAGGTTCAGGGTGGCAATCATCAAATTAACCCCACAGTGGACAAATGGCAATGTCTGGAGTAATTTTTTAAAGACATCTTCACTTACTTAAGCGATGGAGAGATGGAAAATGCCCATCTGCTGCTTCACTCTCTAAATGCCTACAATAGGCTTGGACTGGGCCAGGTTGGAAATCAAAGCAAGAATACAAGAATCCCGTGTAGGTCTCCTACACGGGTGGTAGGCACTCAGTCAGTTGAGTCATCACCACTACCTCCCAGGATCTACATTAGCTGGAAGCTGGAGCTTGAAGTTAGAGTTGGGTACCGTAGCCCAGTGCTCGGAGGGAAAAAATAAATGAATCTTAAACACTCCAATATGTGACACGGGCATCTTAATGAGAGCCTTAATCACAAGGCCAAATGCCCACGCAGATCGCATTTTTTGTCCGTCACAACTTGGGAAATGATACTGGTATCTAGTATGGGGCGGCCAGGGCCAGTGTTAAACATCCCATACTCACAAGGATAGACCCTCGCAATAAAAACTCTTTAGCCTCAAACAAACCAACCCCCCTCCCCCAAAAAAGACAAAAAGGTAAAAAACTGCACATGCTGAATAAATGAAAAAGCAAACTAAGTGACTGGAGACATAAATGACCCAAACGGGAGTTGGTTTGTGGGATGATCTTTCCTGCACCACAGTGGCCTCTTCCTTTCCATATTGATAATTTCTCCTGATCCTTTTAAATCTCTAAGTGGCAGCGTTCTTTGGAGCATCAGTATCTAAATTAACGGAATTCTAAAAAGCAAGTGCTTTTAGAAGATAGAGATGGCTTCAGGTTTTCTTCCTAAGGAATAAAACTGTTCTTACGAAATAGTGGTCAAATTATTTGTGCAATGCCAGACCAACTTAACGTTTTCCAATCTCCACAACAGGCTAACACTGTGCAACAACTGACTAGTTAACGGGGAGTCAAGCAGCCTCGGGAGGTGGTGGATTTTGTCTCAGAACAAAACTGGCTTTTCGTGTGTTACTTGTCTACACTGGAGCTAACCCCACAGCAAATGAGCTTCAGGGCAGTTGGACAAAGCAAAAATTAAGAACAAGAGTAAAAAAATTTCCATTCTGCATTTTCAAACACATCATGTGTTATATTTTAAAAGCAGTTAACATCACAGCAGGGGGAAAAAGCCTTCTCTCACCTTCCGCATACACTTCATCATGATAATCTATTTGTTCAGTTATTTCCAAATCTGGGATTTGGCCCCAACGCTTTCTGGGTAAATCTGGATTTCTGGCAGAAAATGCTTCTGAAACTGCAAATTCTGAAGCCTCCTCCACTTTCTGCAACACAAAAAAAAATTCCATTAAGGTGACAATGACTTTGTTTAGTTAAAGAATTTAACTCCTATGCAAGAATCTGATTTTCTACCAAGATTCTTTCTTCTTCTTTTTTCATTTTTCATTTTTGAAATAATTCTGAGGTTTAAAAAACCCACCCCAAATAATTGTCTGGTATCTTATACATGAGGGTACTTCAAAAGACTAATGGAAAAAATGAAAATCAAAATGTTTTTTATTCAAATTAAATAATGAAATTTTTTAAAATTAAATTAAAATCTCAGAGCTATCAAAACCACTCAGGCAACACCACTGAAATACTCTTCTCCACCGTGAGTTTCTACAGCATCATCAGAGGATTGTCCCCCATCACAAGGTACTGATGTAATTTTGGGCCCAGTGCAGTGGCCTAGCAGCTGAAGTCCTTACCTTGAACGTGCTGGGATCCCTTATGACGCCGGTTCGTGTCCCAGCGGCCTCGCTTCCTGTCCAGCTCCCTGCTTGTGGCCTGGAAATCAGCTGAGGACGGCCCAGAGCCTTGGGATCCTGCACCCGTGTGGGAGACACAGAAGAAGGTCCTTGCTCCTGGCTTTGGATCGGCACTGCTCCAGCCTTTGCAGTAATTTGGGGAGTGAATCATCGTATGGAAGATCTTCCTCTCTGTCTCTCCTCCTCTCTGGATATCTGACTTTCCAATAAAAATTTAAAAATCTAAAAACAAAACAAAAGAAACAAAACAAAAAAAAACCCCGAAATATTTCTGCCCCTACTTTCCTCCATTCCTGACTTTCTCCACCCTCATCAGGGGCCCACATGGGCGTGCATCCCTCTCAACTATGTAAACACTATTAAAAATAAAATATAAAAAAAAGTTGGTTTTGGTAGAAAAAAATACTTGAAATTCAGGCATAATTTTTTTTAAAGATTTATTTTTTTATTATTTTTTTTTATTGGAAAGGCGGATATACAGAGAGGAGAGACAGAGAGGAAGATCTTCCGTCCACTGATTCACTCCCCAAGTGAGCGCAACAGCCGATACTATGCCAATCCGAACCCAGGAGCCTCTTCCGGGTCTCCCACGCGGGTGCAGGTTCCCAAAGCTTTGGGCCGTCCTCGACTGCTTTCCCAGGTCACAGGCAGGGAGCTGGAAGGGAAGCGGGGCTGCTGGGATTAGAACCAGCGCCCGTATGGGATCCCGGGCGTGCAAGGCGAGGACCTTAACCACTGAGCCACCACACCGGGCCCCAGGCATAATTTTTTTTAAAAAGATTTATTTATTTATTGGAAAGTCAGATATACAGAGAGGAGGAGAGACAGAGAGGAAGATCTTCTGTCCAATGATTCACTCCCCAAGTGACCACAATGGCCCATGCTATGCCGATCCAAAGCCAGGATCCAGGAACTTCTTCTGTGTCTCCCACACGGGTGCAGGGTCCCAAGGCTTTGGGCCGTCCTCGACTGCTTTCCCAGGCCACAAGCTGGGAGCTGGACAGGTAGTGGAGCAGCCGGGATTAGACCTGGCGCCCATATGGGATCCTGACACGTTCCAGGCGAGGACTTCAGCTGCTAGGCCATGCTGCCGGGCCCCAGGCATACTTTTTGACGATATACATTTCCCATGAATTTTTTGCTCATATTAAGCAAATTGCAGTATTTTACTCAGTTCTAACATGTTTATAATGTCTGTATTTGGATAAAAGGTTATTCAGGCTTTAGATGACTTTTATTTTGGAATACTCATATTGGTTCCTGAGAGCTGGATATTTTATTTCAAATAAAAATATAATATTTTTGTTACTTTCCACGCCACTAAGGACTTGCACATAAATGAACTACAGGCAGAGTAAATACAATTTTCTCCAAGTCCTACCACTGGAAGAAGCATCCCATCAGATAGTAGGAAAACTACCGATTCAGTAAACTTGTAATAAACACTAAATGAACTGGAATGTTTTATTTAAAACTAAATGAGTCTAATAAAAAAATGACCAAATTTCTGGGAATGGAGAAAGAGAACTGGAGATGAGACGTCAGCCTTGGCATTCTAACTTATTTTACAAGAACTCTTTGTCCCCACCCGTGCTTTTCCCTGCAGGCTTGCTGTTTCCAACCTTCTAACACAGGTAGTGCGAGCTGTGATCACACTGCATCCCCACCCGCAGGCAGTGTACAACCTGTCAGGAGACACACTGCCTGAATCTCCAAAATATATCCAGAATCTGTTCCTTTTCCATCACCTCCACTGCCACCCCCTCAGTCCAGAGCACATCCGAATAGGCTCCTGTCACAGCATCTCTTGACAATGAAAGCCATTTCACATCCCAGCTCCACTCGGTTCTTCAGTGGTTCTCTATCTTGAACAAAGCAGAAGGTCCTGGCCACCAGGCCCCAGGAGACTCAGCCTCCTTACTGCTGCCCTTCCCTTGCTCACTCTCGTCTTAGCCACACTGGACCCGTTGCTCGGCCCTCCAAGGATCTCCCGCATGTGCTCCATGCTCACAGCCCTTCTGTTCCCTTCCCGCTTTCTGGAATACTCTCCTACAGACGTCCACTCAAACGTTTCTTTCTCAATGAGGCCTTTTCCAGTCAATCTATGAAACAGTCACCACCCTCTTCCTGCCCCCGCATTCCCCATCCTCTGCTCCTTCTCTAGAGCACTCATTCCCTTACAATAGGAGGAGATTCCAAAAGATTCATGGAAAGTAGAATAAAAAGGTGTTTGTTTTGATACGAAAGCTATCTGAATCGAAGCGTACAACAATATATTTAGAAAAGAAGATTGGAAACAATTGTTTCACCCACTTTCTCCATTCCTGGACCCTCTCCACCCTAATCAGTGGTCCACATGAGCATGCATTCTTAACTATGTAAGCATCACCAAAAATAAATTTACTGTAAAAATAAATAAATAAATAAAAGGTTCATGGAATTATAAAACATCATGCATCAATTTCAAAACATTTTGTCACTGAAATATATTTACCTTTTAATCCTGCTTTTCAACAAAATTTTTAAAGGACCCTTATACATTTACTGTCTGCCCCCAAGCAGAATGTTAGCAGGCATTACTGATTTCGTCACAAGTGAACCCCAGTACCTAGAACAGTGTTCCCACTTTTATAAACTTTTTTTTTCAGTTCCTCTAGGATATTTTATTTAGGAAATGATACACAAAAATCTAAGTTTTACAAAGAAAGTTGGTATAAGCTTTAGTTAATGCTGAGGCGAGTTAATGGCAGAGTGTGGCCATGGCAAACTCATTTATAAAAATACAAAGCAATTCGTAAAGAAAGGAAGTAAAAGACATGACCTGATAGTATTAAATAAGTTTTTTTCTTCTGTTTCCCTCAAATAATACAAAATCATTTAAAGTTTTATTTATATTCAATGGTATGTATATCATTAACACAATCTTTTAAATTATATCTATGTCTATGTCTATGTCTATATCTATATCTATGTCTATATCTATATTGTAGGATACAATTCTAGAGGCTCTGGGATTTCCTTTCTTCAAATTCCCTTCCCTTCCCATGGGTTTCCCTTATATTTTTGCAATAGTCTATTCCTTCATAAGCAGTCATAAGTCCATCACTCTGCTATTTAAGCGCTTCCTGACATTGTAGGTATGGACAGTAGCAGAGCATCCTATTTTCAATATATATTTATCGGTTTCTTTGGGAGTCAATCTTTGATTTGGAAGTAGAGATACATACTGCATTATATCTTCACATCTGGATATGACAGTCTCTATTATACAGCAAATACATTCCCTTAAATGAAAAGTCATAAAACAAAATCAACAACAGAAATAAAGTTTAAAAATTTACAACAACATGAAGTTAGATAACATTTTACTGAATGATCTATGCATCCCTGAAGAAATGAAAAAAACCTTCTTGGAGAAAATGATGCTACTGAACAACCTATGAGTCAGTAAAGAATTTAATAAGACTAAAGAAACATTTCGAAGAAATGAAAATTCAAACAAAAATATCAAAACACATGAGTTGCAGCAGAAATAGTATTGAAAGGGCTATTGAGCTTATACTTTGCATGAAATTTGCCTTATGTCAGAGAGAACATATATTTGTCCTTTTGGGTTTGACTTATTTCCCCGACCATAATGGTCTCTTGAACTATTTTTTTCTCAAGGTTTATTTATTTCCACTGGACAGAGAGATCTATAGAGAGGAGATACAGAGAAAAAGACCTTCTGTTCATTGGTTCACTCCCCAAGTAGCCACAACAGCCGGGGGTGAGCCGAACCAAAGCCAGAAGCCAGGAGCTTCTTCCAGGTTTCCCACACAGGTGCAGGGTCCCAATGCTTTGGGCCATCCTCGACTGCTTTCCCAGGCAACAGCAGGTAGCTAGATGGGAAATGGAGCAGCTAGGACACAAATCAGCATCCAAATGGGATCCCAGCACATACAAGGCGAGGATTTAGCCACTATGTTACTGTGCCAGGCCTAGTGCTTCACACTTTTAACAAGTTAGCCATTTGCTACACAAACAAACAAAGAAAGGCTTATTCAAAGGCTTATTTGTATTGTCATCTGACCTGCTTTGAAAATGACTTTTCCTAGGGCTAGCTCTGTGGCGAAGTGAGTTAAGTCTGTGGAGCACAAAAACTGTGGTAGGAAGTAGCCAAGTCCAGGCCAGGGCATGGTACTCGTGGGCATATATTAGGTGCAGGTCGGGGGGTGAACCAGGCTGGGCCAGTTCATATCACCCACTGGCGAATCTGAGTACCAGAATGCAGTGTGGGTGTTGTGCCCAGATTTTGAGATCCCCAGAAATCACCAGGAGTCTGAAGTCAATCCAAGTGCACAAGGATGGTTTATTCAAGCTCAGCACATCTGAGCCTGGGTTCTTGGTTGAGAGCAGGCAGAGCTGGCTGACGACCCAGCCAGTCAGGAACAACACCCCTTACCAGAGTGTGGCCCAGAACAGCACATTTATAGGGTTTTTTTTTTTTTTAAAGATTTATTTTTATTATTTTT